GGGGGGGGGGGGTCGCCTCAATTTCTCCCAGTTAAACGTTTCTTTCTATCATATATACAACTACGGTACAAATTAGAAAAGGTATAATTATTCATGGAAACCTTTTGATTTTAATCAAATAGTAGTTCTGTACAAAGTGTGTGCAAGGCGCAAGTCTCTGGGGTAAGGTACAAGCGTGGTACCACCACAGCAAAATAATTAGCAGTCAGCTGGCAGAGTGACATTTTGAGTGCTAGCACTGTAAAAGCACATAATGATATGAGGCAAAATAACAGCACAGCTCACAAATGTGGGAAAAGGACACATTAAACGTACCTTTGACACTGAACACAGGGCCTGCCCTCAGATAGATGGACAGGAGGGTTAGTGTTGGTGACAGAGGGGAGGTGGTGGAAGCGAGAGGCTGACCGGGATGTCTGCACTGTCAGCATTTTATGTTGTGCTGAAATTGACTTGACATTCAATTTGTCAACGCTGTCTGATTTAAGCTCTATAAAACACAACTTTGGCCTGCCTAAACTTAAACCTGCTTCAGCCGGCGGTGCGTGACTGTTACTCCACAAAATTTACTGGTTAGTGGACAACAAGGAGATAGACAGATGAGAGAGAGAACGCGAGGGAGAAAAATAATGGACTTACTGGATTGGGCAGTGCGGGCCTCGATGGGCTGGGTGTAGACGCCTAAACCCATCTCAGAACGGGCTGCCAGGGAGAAACGGTACAACGTGTCAGGCTTTAGACCCTCCACACCATAGGAGCCCGCTGGGTTGAAGGTAACATGTATCTGAAGGGTTAGACAGAAAGAAGCCACTGAATTAAAATCAAAGATAGTGTTTTTATGTGTTGAGCTATAGGTGTAGTATTTGTTGTATTGTTTTGACATGGAGGAATTCATCTTCAACTGAAATCATAAAGCCTACAAGGCTGTCTCCCCTTCCTGGATGCATACAAAGTAGAGAATACATCCAAAATCGAGAGCCATTTGTTACAAAAACAAATTGTCCTCTAGTTTACAACTGGTGCAGTGGTCCAGCAGAGTTGAACCAAGTCTCTCAGTGTTGAACCAACACTGAGAGACAGAACAACGATGTTGTCTGTTACTACAGTAAATCTTTCTCATCAGCTGGGGAGTAGACTGCATTACTACAATAACATTGCTTCAGCCGCAAATTCCCATTCAGAGAAATTGCATCATAAAAAGCAAGATTCATTCGTCTGCAATCTCACAGCAGAATATGAGAAAAGTGTTAATGAATGGCTGGAAGGCTAGATGGGTGGATAGATAGATAGCATGACAGAAAGATAGATAGAAAACCAGGATACCAGATAAAATAGTTATAACTTGATGATGTTATTCTAACCTTGTTGTCTGAGCCAGCCTCCCAGTACTGCAACTCATACTTAGTGATGGGGTCCTGTACGGGCCACAGCCATGTCAGCATGATGCGGCTGTCCAACTCAGCTTCAGCCTCAAAGCTGGACGGCTGGGCAGGGACTGGGTACAGAGGGGCAAGAGAGCAGAAGTTTAAGAATAAAAGGAGCATATTTCTAAAGCCAAATGTTCTTCATAGTTTCAGCACCAATAACCAATTCCCCAAACGGACTGTATGGGAAGGAATTTGCATGGCAAAGTCAAACTAATGCACAAATATGAGCCCTTTCACACATGTTGTAGACAATACACACATTTTGCCAAATAAAATACAGGATCTTTCTATAACTATGCACATGCCGGACCTAAGATGTTTAACACTATATGTAAACATATGAACACACTGGCACAGGCAAACTCTGAAACTTCACATGTGCACATGAACATAAACACATAATTAACACACAGAGCCACACACGGTGGTTGGCTGCTCACCTCCCTGCTGGGTTTTGACTTGCAGGATGTCAGAAGGTGGCCCGTCACCGACAGAGGTGAAGCCCAGCACCCTGAGGCTGTAGGTGATATCAGGAGTCAGGCCTGAGATGGTAGTCAGACTGCTGTCATCAGTGTTGTGTTTCTGCCAGGCGCTGAGCGGAGCCGTCAGGTCCGAGCTGTAGTAGACCCGGTAGCCCCTGATTTGCCCGTTGGGTTCCTCGGGCGGTTCCCACTGGACCAGCATTGTGCTGGCACTCAGCATGCGAGCTTGGACGTGCAGAGGTGGCGAGGAGGGTGCCTGTTCACCGGTGCGCGTCTCCACAGGGTCGCTGGGTGGCCCGCGGCCAATGTTGTTGACAGCCATGACACGAAACTCATATTCAGAGTAGGGGCTAAGTCCACCAATGCTGTAACGTGTGGTTGCCACACCTTCTACTTCCTGGAAGCCATTGTCTGAGGACTTGGCTTTGTACTGGATCATGTAGTACGAAACAGGTTCTGGGTTTCCAGACGCCCAGGTGAGAGTCACACTGGTGGCTGTGGTCTCAGTCACAATAAGAGAGGTGGGGGGCTTTGGCAAGGCTATGGAGGGAGAAGCAACATATTAGCTTTGATATTAAGACTGAACCTTTAGGTTGTGTAGGTAATTGGATTTAAAAAAATTCTATGTCTGACACATTCACTATAACGATTCTTAAAATGTACGCACAATACAGCTAAAATCAGCTCTTGTGGAGAAAAGACAGGACTGGTCATGTTTCCATTCTGTAACTCATAGCACTGAAATGATTGTTTCATAAGCTAATCCTTATAGTGCTGTCAGCAGCCAATATCCCCAAATGAATAGAAGAGCTAGACTGAAATCCCAATTTTGAGTTTTCTAACAGCCTGGTCATTACTGACAATACAAGAAAATTGCAAGAACGGTTCCCGTTGTGAGCGTATGACAAATACAAACAAAACAGAGGGTCTTCATTATGGCTTCTTTGAATAAGGGGTCTGTAGTGCCGTGGTGCTTCTAAATGACTGTGACATTCTGTGTATCGATCAGCTGAGTGGAAAGTGGGATCAATACAATCCGACGACAACTGATAAGAGAGACTGCAATGGGTAGACAACACACTCGCATAGTCACATACACACAAACGCTTTGATGCAGAAAAAAGGACTCAACAAACATGCAGAAAGAAACACATACGAGTCCCGACATCGATGTTCATTGACAAAGAGACTGCAAACAGTGAAAGCTTCCATTTTTTACACTCAGTTAACAACAAAAAACACAGCACAGGGGCAGCAAGCCATCAGTTGATTACGTAGAAAAGGCCATTTAAAATATCTGAAATTTGTGGGTGACTCAAATCAACAGCATCATTATAGCAACATCCTTATTCATAGATAGAACAGCAAGCTTCTCACCTTTGACAGTGACCTGAGCAGTAGCTTCTATCATGCCCAGAGAGGAGATGGCTACGCAGGTGTAGTTCGCTGACTCACGGATGTTAGTGACCTCCAGCACGTTGCGTCCCATTGGCATTTCTTCTTCCTTGGTCAGATCCACCTGGCCCGTCGTCCACTTTACATATGGCATCGGCGAACCCACTGCCACACACGTCAGGTTGACGCTGCCACCTGGCATCACCTCTTGGTTGGTGGGTGGAATAGAGAATCTGGGTGGGACTCTTCGCACTAAGTTAATGAAGAGAAGCAGGAGAAAATAGTGAATAGGTAGGATATGTAAGGTGAATGATATGATGATTTTTGAATGGTCTTGGCCTATACAACACCGCAAGGCTAAAAGCTAACCCGGGAAAGCTAATAGAATGGAGGGCTGATCGCTTTTGTCCGAATGTGCAGGCGAGCACAATGGGAATAATAGGACTGTCACAAAATGGCTCTGGAAATTCACAAGAAAACTTTGAGGGGGTGTTTTATGCTCTTGCCTACAAAAGGGGAAATAATAAAAAAAATAGCCCAGTTTTGCTGGAGACTATGTCTGGCCCTCTTTTGTCAAAGTGTCAAATGGTAGCGAGAGTTGCATCATTGAGAGACCCTGTGGAGATGGCATTGTTTGATTTCTCCTCCCGCTCCCTCTCTCTGGCTCCTTCTGCTAAGCCTGTCTCTCTCTCTCTCTCTCTCTCTCTCTCTCTCTCTTTGTGCAGTTCTGATATGCAGATAGGCTGACATTAAAAAGGGGTTCCCATGGAGACAAGAAGGGCCCGTTGACGTCGCCAGGGACAAGGCAAACACCGATGCAGAGGCTCCATGCAATACTGAAAAGCTGGCCCAGAATAAACAGGCAGCCAGCATTTACATATGCCTTGTTTTCTATCTAAATAAAGATACACAAGGAATGCCTGCCATATTTACACACTTTAGATCTTTTTCTGGCAACTTTTTGGCAACCACAACAAAGTTATCCGCTTGACATGGTAAAGAAAACCTAACTTGACAGTGCTGTGTGAACATCCATCAGTGTCAGAGCTGTTATATTTATGATAGGCTGAACATTACCATAGAATGTGCTGAATGTATAAAGAAGAAGCTCTGACTTCTTTAACCTTGATAATGAAGAAAGCAAGGCCAAGCCAAAAAATTAAACTCCCTCGTGAGGACACACTACTGCTATCCCACTAGTGCTGGTTGTATGTATTCAAAAAACTACGGCATGAAACTATCCCTGCAGAATTTATACTGCTTGTTTCCCCTAATGCACTACAACATCTCTGTCTCTCTGGAAAAAAAAGCCCTTGACTGTAATTGCTCTTTTGCACCGGTCTCCATGAAAATGGATTTTCAAATGTGAGCCTCCCTCCACCTTCCCTTTCCCCTACCCTTCACCCCTCCCTCCCAGATCTAATTTGAACCAGAACGTTGTTACTATATAGCCATGCTTGTTATTCCCCTCATTATGTGGTGAAATGGAAAAAAAAAACACAATAGCACCTTTTGAGATTCCAGTCAGGAAAAGGCTGGTTTTCTGGACCGCACTATAATAAGGAGGACCTGGTTCACACTCATCTCCATTTTCCCAAAAATAATTGAGGTATGGCATATAGACCATCTGCTGTTTTTTTAATCATTACAATCATGTGAGCTTAAACTATTTGGCTCAATATCTCATAAGAATATTAATATCCCAGGTTTGAGCCACAAAGCACACTGACTTGTACACTTTTCACACAATATCCAAGATAAAACAAAACTTTGTAGTTCTTTTATAAGAACTAACTTTTTCATGTGAAAAAGCAAAATCAATTCAATAGAGGGAACAAAAAAAAAGGTCAGCAAAGGTTTAGGACAGAGTTTGATTTTGACTTTTAAACAGCCTGGGAACAGGACAGGGACAACATTCTCAAGCAAACCATGCACGGGAGCTGGGGAAAGATATGGGATGGGATCACAAGCCTGAGAGACGAAGATAAAGGAGGGACTTGGATTTGGTCTAATTTTCTCATATAAATGACTGAACATCTGATTTCCAGTATGACTAATGCACGACAGACTTCCCTTTGAGTATTTCAAGAAAAGAAGAATTAGTATTTCACTTATGTTGGTGGCCACCTGTGTCTTCTCACACAACTGTTATGTTCTTCAAGTGCAGCTATTTTTCACAACATATACTTGTGAAAAAGAGAAACCTGAGAGAAGCGGCCCTAATGTAAAACCATTAAGCTCAAAGTATCTGTTATTCTTTCATGATTCCATAGACTAAACAGTGCTAAGAGCAGTCAGTCAATGGGGCCTGTGTATATTGAACACTTAATGTTGTGAATAATTCATGTCGTGCGGTTAAGTTTGGAGAGGTGCTGTGGAACAAAATGACTAGAGGGCAGGTAATTGTTATCGATTCCCCCGAAGCCTCTCTCCTGTTGAGAGCGGCTTGGAGAGACGGGCTCCGGGACTCTATCAAAACCACAAAATAAGCCCTGTCTCCACTCTGCCTGCCTGCTTGCTGGATACCTATAAATTTAACTGCCTTGACAAAGTGCCCAAGGATAGCAGAACCTGTTCAGTCAATCAATATCTGAGCAAACTGGCACAGAGTCAGCGGGCTCCCAGGCTTCCTGGCAGCACCGCTGGGCTACCATGATGGCTGATCATCCCCCTGTCAGCACGCTGCCAGCTCATTCTTAAATATTCTATAGGTCAGCTCTTTGCACGGCAGTGTTTCGCAGGGAAGAGATAATTTCCAAAACATTAGCTCTTGCTTGGGCAATGTCAATGTCATCATTCATCTTCATCTGTAAAAGTGTGGACCAAGGACCAAATCTCCTGATATGAACTATTTGCTTACATTAATTATTCATAAGCTGGTATACAGTACATTCAGTATTGATGGGACTTCATTTCTAGTAAGATACTAGAAACTACTACTAGATAGACTTTTTTTCCTTTCCTCTAGGTCCTCCTGCTGAGACATCAGATGAAGGGGGGGGGCTTCTCATTAGGCTAACATGTGTCTATCACATCCTTCAGTCTCTGGGTAGTGGAAGCCCATGGTGGCAAAACTGACATAATCCCTTGAGAACGGCTTTGTCAGTTCTGATACCCTTGTCCCTCAGTGGGAGAGCACGGGTGTTGCTGCCTAAATACCTAACAAATCCGGTTGCTACCTGAATACCGGAGTAATCCATCACACACCTCTGATGGGCCTACAGAGGCGGATGGAAAGTCTGAGGTTGAAAGGAGCTATAGTGTTTGGTGGATGTAGTTGACGGTGACAATGTGGGTGCGGTTGGGAGGAATCCACGGCTAAATAACACAAAAGAGATCTAATAATGATTTAAACAAACTGCACGGGGACTCCTTATGTGTTTTGGCAAGGCTAATCGAAACACGGTTTAGGGGAGTGGCGATGGAAGACATGCAAGAACTATTCAAGGATTCATGCAAACAAGTAGACAAAACGACACATTTACACTATGTTGGATTAGGGAGAACTATAATTAAATATTTTTGTCTGTCAGGGAAGGGATATCGGTGTCTTCATCTGAGGGGTTAGAAAGGATGGTTGACCTCTCTTAAAATCTGTACCAAATTGATGGGAGGGGATTAAAAGTGAAACTGACAAACCTTCACGCTGATCTGTTTGAGGATGTAGTGATTTGATGGAGGTGAGCAATGGAATGAAAAGATACAAAGTGGAGAGGAAAACAACACAGTGAAACAGGACAGTGTTTCTGTAGACATAGTGGAGGTTAGGTTTTGACATGGCAAAGTAATGCATACATACAGTGTCCGGGAAGGAAACTCACTTTCACGTATTTAGTATTATTCTTATTATTGGCATCTTTATTATTTGGAATTGTATTTAACAAATTAAATCATTTAGTTTCACATTACACTTTAACATCACTATGGGATTTTTGATAACTGACCCATATAGATGGTAACAGATAATCAAATAAGTAAAATTTACCATCAAGGTGAGTACCAAGTATGGAAATTTCTATCTCTCACTCTACCTATGCATTAAAGCATTTTTGTCTTCCTTAAAATTACTTTTTTACCAGAGTACTTGCTGATGTAAAGAACACTAGTTTTTGCTCTTGTAACCCATCTTTTTCTTCCAAAAATTGACTCGAATTTATAATTTTTGTAAGTTTCTCACCCGCACACACAGACAAACACACACAGTGAACAGCATGAAGATATTTTGGTAAAAGAAAAGCCCAGCTACAGCACTTTATCCTCTATGACATATTGACATGTCACATGGATATATGAAGGAGTGCCAGCAGACAGAAGCTGACATCCCTCCTCCGTTGTGGGATAAGCACTTGACAAATGAGCGCTCATGCACAATCACAGGACGCTTGTGATTCTGCCCACGTTGATGGAGTCCTCCTTTAGAGGAGGGTCACCAAAAGCGACCCACAGCAAACAAGGCGTGCATGCACCTGCACACCTACAAACACACGTACACTCTTAATGGATGAGAAGTGGAAGGACATAAATAGATACACAGACAGGAAGGGAAAAACAACCCCTATGGTTATATTTTCATATGTCACCTTCAAGTAGTGGTAACTTCATTGACATTTCAAGCCTACAGATGATTGAAGTTCTTAGAAGGCCCTGAATTGCATTAAGAATTGTAACATTATTTTATTCATTCATTCATAGCTCAAGCTTCATTTTCATTTCACGCTGGAAGTTTGGAATACATTTTTTATAGCCTGCTACTACATCACCACTGTAAAATTTAACACTTGTCAAATGACCTTTTTGCTTCCAAAGCTTGTTATGTTTACAGGTTTGTGAGCCGACGTTGTAAGCCCCTAAATCCCCCCTCTGGTGTCTTAGAATAGAAAAAAAACATATAACAACAGGAAAGGAAGAGAGGCATGTCAAAGGCCACTTGTCTTGAGTCCCTCATGTTTTAAACCCAATCAAGCAGCCCAGTGATAGCACAGCCCCAGGTCTCGTCTCCTCATTCTTGCAGCATTAACAAAGACGGAGTGAAAACATGGCTAGAGCCTTTGTTCTCTATTCCAGACTAGTCAACTTTTAAAAGGTTACGGTTGGTTTGATTTCTATCTCTCCACTGGTGTGGTGAGGCTGGCGGAAAAGTTGGTGTCGGGGCCAATGGGTTGACAGCTACCTGGGTGGTGTTACAGACTAGCTGGGCCTGGGGGCCCTGCTGGCGCCAAGCCACACAACTACTGTAATTACCTCTGAGGGGAAAAAAAGGCTGCGCTTGCACCTGTGACAGACATGCCCTGATTAATAGACGAGACTTACATCCCTTTCTCGCCTTTGCTGTTTGGCTGACTACCTCCCCTGTCAAGATTTAAGATCCAAACCTTCTGGAGCCCACAGTGTTTAATCTGTAAATTTGATGCTGCTATGGTCCTTGAGGATGATTTTTTCCTCTGTTTTCTCTGATCCACAAGGAGATTCTCTCTGTTGGAAAAAGATTATTTTTGGATACTCTTTCTATATGAAAAAAAATACTGATGCTAAACATTAGTCGGTCACATCTTGGTGAGAGGAAAATGTGTTAAAAAAAAATAGTACTCCTAATTCAATTTGACATTTCCTAAGCAGTGGTTTGTAATTTCTGTCTTGGTTTGAAGGGAAAAACTGGACACTAATTTACTTATTATATCTTGATGGATAGAAAAAGAGACAAAGGAATCACAATAGCCTGTAGGATACACTACTGTATATGCTTTTAACAAAATTATGAAGTGATAGTTGAGTGTGTGTCTTTCTTAGCCTGACACTTTCCCTCCCTTACTCCCTCCCTCCCTCATCCACCCACACTAACAACTGGAGCAGCTATTCTGTTTCATGTACATCAGACATGGTGGTGTTATCCGCAGGGGCTGACCTAGACTACTCACTCCCCTATACCAGCTTTTTTCCAGGATGGGTACAGTGCTACCCATGCCCTGCATTAGTCTGCTCACGGAGACCACAAACAAAACCAAACCCTGAAACTCCAGACCCCACCATGCCTGTAGGAGCTCTAGGTTGTGCGGGGGGGAATAATGGAGCCTTTCGATACAGTCAAAATAAAAAAGAAAGGAGGCCTAGCATGGCTTTCAGTGCCAGCGGAGGAAACAGTTTCAATGCAGCTGTTTTCACAGAGGCCGCACCTGGTCGAGTTCACAGCCAAACAAGAGGTTGAGGTTAGTTCAGCTCATTGGTATGGGAAGGACTGCATGGCAAAGATAATGGTGGGGGAATTGGTTGAAGGAAAGACAAGACAGAGAAATAGTAGTATAAATGTGGTGATCAAATGTGGGAATGACATAATCAAACACCCTGCAAATGTTTTTCACAGATGTTTTCACTTATCCTGGATAATTAGAACTCTGCTCAGGTTGATGGTGGGCAGGGCTATGCTGCAAATTACTCCATGCACCAATCAGAATTAAAAAGGTGTAATTTTCCCTAGCAGGTGCAAAAAGCTAACGGGAGAGTGAGGAAGATGTCAATCAAACACAGCCTGCACACTCCTGAGAAGAGCTATAGCCATCCAAAATAACTGAAATAAAATAACCTGAAATCACCTGTGTGGATGCACCATTGAGGGGTGCAGGGAGATATAAAGATGCATGGTCACTGGTGAGTGAACAACATTTACAATAAGACAAACATGAAACTTTGACGGTTGTTTGTGGTTTGCCAATGCTTGAGACAACAGACATGAAAGATTAATTCAAGAATTGAGAAAGACATTTGACTTTACCTCGTACGTAGAGATTGGCAGGAGCGGAGTAACGGGTCCCAGCACTGTTCATGGCAACACATTCATATTTCCCTTGGTCGGACTCCTCGCTGTTCTCTATTTGCAGAGCTCCTGCGTAGAGGATTAACAAATTTAGCTGTCTTGACAGTTGTGGAATATGAGATGTAACTTGGCATGAAACCACAGCAGATATCTGTACAGTGACTCGCTAGAGAGCCTGTAGTCAACTAGTTTAACCCAGTTCATGCGTATTTAAGTATCTCAGACATGGACACAGTTTTGTCAAGAAAATGCTTACGGCATTACATAAGCATTTAGCTGCTCTGGGTGTAATCAAACTGCTAACAGAATATTTGCCTAGTCGTATTAAAGAGTCATGACTGAGGGTCAATTAATCATCTGAATAACATGTCACAACTATCACCGCATGATTAGGCCTTCTACTTTTGGAAGTAATTGACAAACCAAAGTATTTGTGTCATGGAGGGTTATCTATCTCAGCCAGATGTTAGGACGAAGCTAACCTATACTGACAATAGTAGAATGGATGTGCGTTTTACACAGTTTAACTGTTTGACATTATTTACAGCTGTGGGTCTCAGGAAGAATTCTACTCTGCTTAGGTATTCTACCTAATTATATTAATGATTAAATCATGTTTTCAGATATCCTAGATATCTTGTTGAAATAAGAATTAAAATGCAACCATATTTAACCAAAATGAGTGAGTCAGAGCATTTGTTGGATGGTCTTTTGCTGCAAAGCAAGTGCCAGTACATATTTTCTTCAATCTTTGTTGAGAATGCATTTAGCAATGAGGTCATAACTGTGTTCTTTTTTTACCAACTATTTGACCATGTCTCACCAAAGCCCTCAAGGGAGACGGTCCTCTGCCAGATGGCTTGGATTAGTATTCACAATCCCAAGTAGCTGTAGTCATCAGACAGAAGGCTTACATGTTGTTTCTAACAAAGCATGAAAGCCCAGGAGACCTGTCTTGGTGTGGTCCTTTTGACATTCCATGTCCATAACCATCACATAATCATTACTACTGAACTGCAAATGGCTGACAAGATGAGGCGATTGTAATTTTACAAATTAAATTAGAGACCTACAACAGCAATCTTACCTGCAGCCCATAAATGTAAAAAAGTATATGTTTAAAAACAAAACTACTCCTCTCAGCAGTACGTTTATGTATGTCACAAGTGAGTGATAACAGTTATCACGTCTCCAAAACAGCATGGTACGAGCATGAAAAGGAGCCAGCCACCATGCAGTTTGAAAATGACAAAAATACTCAGCATAAGATGATGTCAGGAAACATTTTTTCACATCATGCGGTATGAGATGAATGTAACAAACAGGTTCACCACCAACCAAAAGGGACTCGAATCAAGACGAGACCAAAAAAGAGAAGCAAAACAGGGCGGGGCAGTGACATGTGGTAATACCACCTCAGACCTCATGACAACACATCTCTCCAAGGTGTTTGCTCTGCACGTTGAACTCATTGCTGTCTGATTCAGCACTGACATGCACCTGCATACTAATGCCGTTGTCACCAATCTGTCAATCTGCCCACACTCCCATGGGAGAAAACAGTGTGAGTACTACAGGAATATAGAAGGTTACTGCTATGGCAGTTGTCAGAGCTTCAACACTAAACCCCTTCAATTACTTCCAACTACTCAGACACTGGCAGATCTTCTACAAGGTCATTTCACTGTTTCCCAGTAAAGAAACTGCATAAGGGGCCATAAGGCTGCCTTAACTCCTAAAGAGTTAAACATCTAATTGAATATGGGCTGTATTATGAGCCATGGATGCACAGATAGCGAGATAGACAGCTGGTAGCAGCTAATGTATTCAGCTTGCCCCAGACGTCCACTATTTACCTCACTGTTGTTGAACGGAAATCATGCTTTCACTCGGGGGGGAAAGCAGACGATTACCATTAAAAGGTGTTGAAGCTTCCACCCTAACAATCTCGACCAGGCATCCTGTTCTTATGCTGGGGGTCAATGCTGCATAGGCTGTATGCAAATGCAGCCATTTTAGTTTACATTGAGGCTGCATAGAGGAGGCAAGCAGATCCTTTTGTGAAGACAGTGGCCTTTAGTTTAAAATGCAAGTCCTCGCCCCTTTTTGCTGAAAAGCCAGAGGCAAAAGATATTTGTCTCTGTATGAATGTGCCTGTGTTTGTTCATAGACGCGGTTCATTTCTCACAGAAAAGGTGGAGCCTTGAAAAAGCTTATTTACTAGATATCACCAAGGACTTTCTATTGTATTTCCATTCTCCTTAGATCACGGTTGGTGATCATTTGTTTGTTAAGGTGCAGACAGCAGACAGAACATGTTGGAAAGAGACGAAAGGGGAAGTGGAAGAGGGTGGGTTTGGCACTAACAGTGTGGATGAACCTGGTGATGTGGTGGGGGAATGCAGGGGTCTGATATGGATGTGAGGGGATGGTGTGGACGTGATATTTTCCAACACACTTTATCATCCTTACCTCTAATTGGTGTACCACCTAGGTGGGAGTAATTTCGATGCAAACAGGGTTGAGAGATTAGTTAGTAATCCACTTACAACAGTGGGAGAGAAAAACATGGCTTCTGACAGGCCACAGATAAAAAGGAAAAAAAAAACACTGATACAGAGTAGAAGCCACTTAAATGCAATGTGACAAAGTCAGTGTATTTAATCAGTGCTATAAAGTAAGTATATATTTTGGACTGTACATGTGACTGTAAATGACCAAAAACAACACAGCATTTGAGAAGGATCCCTTCTGTCAGGAAAACATTTTGAAACATAATGCTGCTGCTTTTGT